TTCCAATAAGCCTATTTTCAGGCGCTGCGTAATATCATTGCGCCTGCTGCACCCATGGTACGGCAGCAAAGTTCCTTGATTATTATGCCGGAATGAAAGTATAGTTCCTAGCCATATTGGCCTAGAAAATCGCAACTTTTCCTTTTCCGTCAGTCTTAGTACATGATGTAACTACAGAAGAGTCAAGTTTTAAATAGGAAAAATATAGAAACTCTTTGGTCATTTTTCAGCGAGATGCCCAATGAAATACAGCAGCAAACCAGGCTTTTTACATTTTTATTAAGTTTTTAACAGGATTATAAAATTCAACACATATGCACCAAACATTTTTCCACATGCACAGTTTTAGTATACAAGACAAAACAGTTACTTTTCAATATGAAAATGTCATGTTACATGTAAGTAATCTCACAGAGATTATTCATTAATACATCAGTATTAAATTCTCAGGGCCGTGTGCAGTAGAAAACGTCAGGTTGTCAATGCTGGCCACTCTAAAAATATATAGCCACTATTTACATCTGGCCAAGGTATTGTCGTTTTTCATTTCAGATTACCTAGAAACATAATTGGATTGTAGCGATAAGATCTGTCATTAACAGCTCAGATTTTCATATCATATCAAAGTTTTGCCAAAGGGAAACCATAATGTGAAGAAATTAAGCTCACTGATTATACGGTATACACAAAATTAGGCAAATTAGACTTCATAATTTTAAGAGTACCAAAGAAATCATTGCTATTAAACAACAATTATTGTTTCAGTGTTTATATGCATCATTACGCAGATACTGTAACTGAGGGTTGATGGGGCACATTAGAACAAACCGAGAGTAGGAGGAAAAACAGCGCATGGAAAAACGAACATATCATTAGTGACAAGGGGTGTGATAAGCAGCGCTAACTTTGTAATACTGTAATATGAAATACTTAAAGTACATTTCTATTTTTGTTTTTTCTATGCTGAAAAAGAAACATTGTCTGAAAATAATAGACAATCTATAAATAATTTGTAATTTCAAAGAGATAAACTCAACTATAGAACTGTAAAGTACACTTGACCATTAAAAAAAAATCCTTGCAACCCACTTTACTTCTGTAATGTAACAGGGAAGAATTTTATGGAATTTAGTAATCAGGAATAACTTAAAAGCGGTCTCATATGAAGGGTGTTGAAGAATACGAGGACTTGATGACATCAGCCGAAATGGAAAGTCGTTTCAGGGGCGGAGCCTCTTTGAAATAACTCACAATGAAATCAGGAATTAAGCAAGGACCAGTATTAAGAAAGACTGATGATGCTTAAATGTATACTACCATTCAAAAGTTTGGGCTCAGTAAGATTTTTTAAAAGAAATTGCTATTTGTATTCATCAAGGATGCATTAAAATGATCAAAAGTGACCGTAAAACATTTATAATGTTACAAAATATTTGTATTTTAAATAAACGCTGTTCCTTTGAACTTTCTATTCATCAAATAATCTCTTTTCATCAATGTATCACCAGTTTCCACATAAATATGAAGCAGCACAACTGTTTTCAACATTGATAATAATAAGAAATGTTTCTTGAGCAGCAAATCAGCATATTAGAATGATTTCTAAAGGATCATGTGATCGTGTGAAGACTGGAGTAAAAATGCTGAAAATTCATCTTTACCATCACAGAAATAAATTACATTTTAAAATATATTTAAATAGAAAACAGTTATTTTAAATTGAAATACTATTTCACATATTACAGTTTTTACTTTATTTTTGATCAAACTAATGAAGCCTTGGTAAAGACTTTAAAAAAAAAGAAAAGAAAAAGCTGACCGACCCCAAACCTTTGAACAGTGGTGTACAGCTGCATATCCTGAAATGTAGTTTCTGTGTTTTTCACCTGCTTTGACACAGATGTAGGATTGCAAAATGTATCTAACTCCTCTTCAAGAAACTTCTCTTTGTTCTCTGCATCTTTCTGCTAAAACTCCAACTCTCTGAAAGGGAGGAGGCAAGGACACCTCAGACACTCAAAGCACAAACTCCACACAAGACGGCTGACAGGAACACCGACATCAGTCAATCAAGAGTGCATTGTGACAGCCGCAGTATAGAGCAGAAAAATCGATATCCCATTGACTGGGCCACTGCAGCCTAATCAAGGTGCCCAGACCTTTATGAAATCTTGAAGGAGAACAGATAGGCTGTCCTGATTGGGACTCTGCAGCCTTTTTTTATCTCCTTCGCTAACCTTTTTTTAACACGTCTTCATGGGTTGTACCGCACCTGTTCTGGAGACTTTGCAGGACGGCTATGTCACCTTGGTTCACTACCTTGTGCTTTCTTCTGACATTGAGAAGAACAAGTGCAAATTATGGACTCTACAGCCTGATACTGCCATGACAGAGCCAGGAACATATTGTCCAGTGAAGGCACTATTCCTTGGCAGCGAACCTCGGCATTAAAAGGTCACCCCCGAAGCACCTCGCCTCTCGTCTCATTGAGGGTACAAATGAGAAATTCAGAATTCAGTGCGTGTTAGATGGGCATCAACATGAAATATGATCGCCAATATACTAGAAATCTAATATCATGATGTGACACAGGGCTGCACAATAATGGTTAAACTGATAATCACGATTATTTTACTCAAAATTTATACTCACGATTATTAAGGTCTGTTTACAACAAGAACGGTAACTACAAAGATAATAAAACACTAACTATATTAGCGTCCACACCAATGAATAATGTTATGTTTATTAGTTTTGTCGTCTTTCCTTTTAAATGTTTGAGCTCTGTAAAAGCAGGATGGATTCAATTGGATGTCAAAGTTTTTATCATTCATCAGCTGGAAAAAAAATCTTTCGGGAAAAGATTGCAACAATATAATTTCTCGGTGCTGTTAACGTTATACTTTTATTTTGAGGAATTACTTTTTACATTTAATTGGGATTATTGCACTTTCACCTAGGCAGGAGAACATCAGCTGATATACATGGTTTAATTTACCTCATCTATTTTCCTGATTTATTACTGTATATTTAGCCTATCATATAAATAAAAATAACACTCCCTACATTATAAACACTGGTAAAACAAGAAGCTTCTCTTAAAAGATAAAACCTGTGGAATTCCTAATAGTAATTTAAAAAATCCCAAATTATGTTAATGCTTTTCTATTAAAGCAACAACAAAAATGATTTTGTATTGTGGCACGGAGGGTTCTTAAGTGCATCTGTTCAGCAACCACAATCACAAACATTACTGTCAAGATCCATGTTTGGATTTATAACAGTTCATCACCGAGAAAGTTTGATTGCAGATTTAGTCACAGCAAACATGTGAAGGAACAAAGACGGGCTATGTCATGCTCTCATTTAAGCAGAATATTTCGATTGAGACTGCTGAAGGTTTTTTTTTTTTGGTGTTTGCAGATTATCAGTGCTTTTTTCTCAGTTCAGAGAGAATGTGTGCACATGGCTGCCAGATTGGGGAGATTAAGGATTACACTGGGCAGAAAATGTGTCCTTTTAAAAGAAAATCTCTGATTGGGGGATTTAAACTCTTGACATCTGGCAACCCCAAGCATGAAAGCTTGTGGAGGCGCATTACCAATGCAAGATAATGCAAATTTCAAATGGGAAAAAAACAACAACTTTTGATAAATAACCAGTGGGCAAATATCGCAGACGGAGAAGCTTAATTAATCATCAGGAACAATAATCGTGATCACGATTAATATAATATTTATAGTGCAACCCTAATATGACTTTTTGAGCAATACTATAGGATCAGGATGGAAAACCAATGGTGTTTTTTTCAACACATTTAGACTGGTAGGGAACTCTGGGGACTTTCACGCATCAGTCTTGTACTTGTTTGCAAGGCTTTCAATATTTTCACATCTGCAAGGTCATTATAGCTATAAAAATTTGATACCCTTCCAGCAGTGTTCCACATCTTGTCACTTAGTTTCTGACAACTTGCTTTGCAGTTTATGTGCCAAGTACAGGTAGATGTGTGTGAGGCATTTAAGTGCCTTTCAAAAGCTTACTTACGTATGGGTTGTGAATAACACGATACAGTGGGGCAGCACCAGCTAAGAAAAACTGAAGTGTAAATCTGGTTCAGCTAGAGCAAATACTCACAGGAAAAGTAAGCCTTAATTGTGTAGCCTTAAGTGTCTAATGCGTAACCCATCAATAATTTAACCGACATGAAGAGTTGAACAAAATGCTAATACCCATCAAAGAGACTGAGAGGGAGCCTTTGGAGTCGATGGCACTGTAATAGAGGCGAGATGGCAACACTCTTTTCTTAACTAATGGAAGATTCCCATTAGGACAAATCAATGCTCGGCTTTGTTAACCCAGACCCAGAACTTAGCTAGCACAATGAAGCCACAAGAGATCCAAAAATCTGCAATATATATATATATAAGAGCAATTCCCACCAACATTGGTTTCTTAGCCCTTATCCTCAACTGCAAAACTATTTTCATCTACTTTGGTGCGTACATGAATTTAAGGCATTGATTGTTCTCAAGGATCAGAGGAAAAGATGACGCATGCATTGGCACACTGCATAAAGAAGCACATTATACAAAGAACAAAAGCGTTTTTTTTGGTGGGGTTTTTTTCCTGGTTGTAGGGTGCCAAAGAAACTGTCATATATGCAAAAAACTATTTTTCATACTGTATTTTTGTCTTGTTTTCCAATTAATGAGATTAGTTTTCAAAGAAAAAATATATTATTAATTTAAGATTATTTTTCCTCACTTATTGGAAAATATTTTTTTCCTGGTTTTAAGCATAAGCTTTTAGTTTATGATTTGGTTAGAAATGAGGAAAAAATAAAATTACCAATGGGGTAAGAAAAATAAACTTAAAGCAATATTCTCTGAAAACAAGTCTTAATATTTTATGCAGTTTTTTTTAGTTCGTCCTGTTGAAGGATGTTTTTACAGGAAAAGACAACAAAAATACTCAATAAACAAATGTTTTTTGCAGTTTACTCTAGATCATCCCAAAAACCCTAATGACTCTCTAGCAGGGCTCTGCCATGTTTACTAATGATGCATTCCTTAACATTTCCCATGACATTTCAATATCAGGCTTTTTTCCATACATGTTGCTGGAGCTGGAGAATCCCATCTGGTCAGATTGTGATGGGAAACATAAGCCTTGTATGAGCAAAGAGCAGAAAGTATGTTTTTCTTGGTGCGGCTGGGTCTGGTGCTCTTGGGAGGCAAACATCAGGAGGCACTGAGCGTCGACAGAGCGCAAATGAGGAGCGGAGAGAGAGAAAGTGTGCACAGCCTTCCTGCTCTGGATCCACGGGCACCCATGCCTGTAAGCAAACGCAAACACAACCATTAAGAAAAACTATTTAACCTCCCAAAGGAGAGAAAGAGAGCATTATGGTTTAAATTCTCAGACAGCTCATTCCTAAATCAAAGAGAAATTGCCTAATAATGTAGATAGTGGAGCGGACCTGATATGGAATGTCCAAGAACAAAATACGGTCTGAAACCGTAAAAAAAAAAAAAAAATTGTAAGCATCAGGAAGTCAAACTAAATATAAATTAAATACATTCTTATTTATAATTCTATATATATTTCTATATTAAATATACTAAAACTACATATAAGAGGTCAAACTAAATATTTAAATAAATTATAATGTTTATAAAATGTATTATAACAACATGATAAATATTATATATATGAAGTCAAACATAATTTGTAATTATATACAAGTATTTATTACTAAAATTTATTGTAACTATACACAAATATATATATTGCAATGGTTTGGTTGAATGGCTCAGCTTGACAAATTAAATGAAACATTTGACGTATTCATGTTATAGCTTATCTAACATCACACAAAAACTTTTGTATCTAATGTTCATTACACCAATTTGTACCCTATTCATGGAAAAAAACATTATTGAGGAAAGAATCCTCTGAAAGAATTGGGGTGAATCTGAAAGCAACTCTCTGTAAGAAGGGGAAGGGAAGTCGAGCACATTTTGATTGCCACCCATTTGAGGGAGTGAAGGAATTGGGGGTGATTCTCACTAATTTATATGCAGTTCTGGCTGCGCAGTGAGCGAGATAGATAGTGGAGGAGCGTGCATTTCTTAAAAGGTCGGATTTTACGACGTGCTGAAAGACTGAAGTGAACAGAGCAAAATATGTAGGCATCCAAACTGACTGAATCCCCATTAAGAGCTCATCAATGCCGGCGAAAGACAAAATAAAAGACGGCAACAGGAAATGACAGACTTACTGAGTTGGTGGATGTGGATGGGCTCGCTTCCTTCCCCCAAGCCCCCTTCACTGAGGGTCTTGATCTGAATGACGTAGTTGTCGTTCAGATTGAGGGTCAACTCAACCGAGGTTTTGTTGGTGATGATGGAGTACATGTCATTATTCCGGCGTCTTCTGTACAGCACCTGCAGATGATGGCACCCAAATCAATCAAGAGCTTCATTCAGAATAATTAACACTAGTGCTGACAATACAATGCAATTACAATGCAAGTCCATTAATTAAATTTATTGCAATTAGTAGCATTTTTGCTGAAAAAAACGCCCCCAAATGAAGATAATTCTAAGACATTATTGTGGCATTACAATAGATATACCGGATTTATAAAAGTGCTCATTATAAAAAAAATGTAATTAATGAATTACACTGAATTAATGCATCAAATTGACAGCTCTAATAAAAACTGAAGCTGATTTTTAAAATGATCTGGATAAAATGCAAGTGCTTTCCCATGCAGCAATGATGCTAGAATGTTGTGGGTAGAGAGGTGTCAGAGTGTTGCTATGTGGTTGCTAGGGTGTTCTGAGTGGTTTCCAGGGTATTGTGGACCCTAGATATGGCCAACGTTCCTCTGTTTATAGTAAATAATAGCATACCTCCTCTCAAAAAGCCACATGATTTGAGGCATCATTCATGTCTGTAGTAGTTTAATATTTAGAGATCGACTAAGTATAAGCAACAGTGATGTAGCACCACTAATTATATATATATATATATATATATATAGTTAAACACAGGTGATGCGCCCTGTTATTCTAGATAATGTTTACTGATGCTAATGGCTAGTGCTTTTCCCCTGAGCTTCATGACTGTTTTCCCTTGTGGGGAAATTAGCACTGTGAGAGCTGTTAATTACATGCATGTGTAATTAACAGAGGTGGAACGAGACATGAAATAGCATATGCTGTGCTCTTATCTATAAAAACACACAAATGAATGGTTTTCGACCACGTAACTGCCATATCTTTGTAGCTAAATTACTGCACCCTGACAACCCTTATAATGTATATCAATGGTATCAGATGCAAATATGCAGTGTAGTTCCTGCCGTCATTGTTCGGCTCACAATGTAGGAATGGAAACGCCTGACTGCTAAAGGGAAAACAATGGATTACCTTCCAGTGAAACTCTTATAAAATATACGAAAGCATTTTCTGGGTGCAGAGAGATAATATCACTCACTATGTATCCCGTGACCTCAGATTCAGTTTCGAGAGCGATGACGGGATCCCACTGCAGCACGAGCTGAGAGCCAATCAGATTCCACTCTACGTTCTGAGGGGGTTGTCCAGGTGCTGAGGTTTGTGTATGAAAGAAATGGGCAGAAAAAGAAAGAAAGGGTTCACAGTGTGCGATCAATTGTGTGACTGCATTCGATAACACCAAAATGTTTGACTAGCAGATTAGTAACGTCAGTAGGGGAAGTTTCTTTTAGCACAAATCTGCTGCTAAATCAGAGCCGTTTCTTTCACAGATGGACTTGGAAACTGTGATTCATACCAATCAGATAGAATTGGTTTCCACAGTTTGATATTGTCTGAGATGTCTTTTTTCTTTTATTTATTTATTTATTGACTGGTTTTAATTTAGCTGCTAAGTTTAGAGAGAGCTGTTCAGCCCTTTGGGTCAATTTCTGCTGCTTTTAAATGCTTTATAAATAAACTTGACTTGACTACTATCAAAATAGATGATTGAAAACTCTTTCAGTTGGAAAAAACACCCTCAAGTCATGCCACAGCAGGTTCACAGCAAGTGTGTGTAGACTTAGTGATCTGTTCAAAAGTTATAAGTTCTAAATCTTTCACAGACATAACTCAAAAAACAAAGCAAGAATGTACAATTCTGCTAGTTTGTGTACTACTAGGTGCCTCAAGCGAAAATCTTTTTGAAAACGTGGAAAGATTTGATGTTACCTAAAAAAAAAAAAAACTCTTGAGGCAGAAATAGATTCCCATAATATTCACCTGGGTAAAAAATAAATGTGAAGATAAAAAAAGAGATACGGACATCTATAAAACGTTGTTCTTATACCCATGGAACATTTTGCTAACGTACTACGGATGAGTAAATTACATCTTGCAGCTATAATGCTCACATCAAATAAACGTGTCAGCAACATATGATCGTGGAATGTTCTTGTAATGGCCAGAGTACTTACGTGGCTTTTTGGTGGTAACATTGACAGGTACAGACTGGGGGCCAGTTCCTGCTGTATTGAAGGCACACACCGCTAGATAATACTGAGTGTTCCCCTGCAGGCCACTGACATTTACTGCTGTGTAGTTTCCAGTGATCCGCACTTTACCCACCGTATCCGGCTTGGTGTCATCTTCCCAGTACACCACCTGTTCGCCAGGACACACAACAAGGGCATTTTATATAACTTTGAAATTAGTTGTAAACAGCTTTCTGCCAGAACAATTACAATCACTCTCGCTACCAACTGTGACCCTAAATATGCAGATTTTTCTCATAAGAAGTGCTACTATGAAAATAAAAAAGTTTTTGGCATGGCCACTTAACTCAAATGGTTGCTAACAGAAATACGTTAATTGGGAAAGTGTTAAATCTCAGGAAAATATACAAAGTAAATGCCAAGTATTTTTATCAGCTGCCAAAGAAGGTGAGATATGATTTGCACAGAATTTATTACATTCTATTAAAAGTCATTAGTACTCATTACATTTGGCTAGAGATTTCTAATGAGTCAATCAATAACAAAGTGATCAGTTCAGATATTTGATACACATATTTGACTTCACCTTCATTATGCACTTCATTTAGCTGATCATTTGTGTCCTTTCTGCAAATTACAAGCTTGAGAACATATTTCTGGCTGCTGGAAATATGATATTCTTCTGAAATGTAGATTCTCTTGAGGATATGAAATTTCAATTAACTTTTAGCTGTGTGCTAGCCTAGGTAAGAAACAATTAGGTAGCGGAAATGAAATAATCAATTATTAACCCCGAGTCATATGTAATATCAATATTGAGGCATTTAGTATAGGAAGATTTAAGCCAATTTCAAAATTAGAGAGTAATGAGATCTGCCTACGGGAGGTATATTTCTAAATTATTTCTTTTCTACCTTTTGCTTTCTACATTCTGCTTTCTATCTTTTGCAGAATAGTACATTGCGTCATTCAATTCAATTCAATTCAAGTTTATTTGTATAGCGCTTTTCACGATACAAATCGTTGCAAAGCAACTTTACAGCAAATTAAGTTTCTACAATATTTATTGGTAGCTTATCAGTGGTGACTGTCAGTTAATGTACATATGGCAGAAATGTACGGAAAAATCAATTAAAGACGTAATTCAGTCTTGAATTGAGAATTTAGCTTTTCATTCCAATTCAGTTATTAAATTCGAACTCAGACTGCAAACAGGAAGCAAAATATCATTTCAAAACTGAATGTAAGGAAAAAAATGAACAAATTCAATGGAAGTAATATGTATTTTGACTTTTGTATAGGCATTTTTCAACTGATATTGAGATTTTTTTAATGCCACCTATAGATTAGAGTTGGTAATATTTTTGCTTTTGAAAGAAGTCTCCTACACTCACCAAGGTTGCATTTATTTGATCAAAAATGGAGTAAAACTAATATTGTGAAATAACAGTTAGGTTTATTTTAAAATATTTTGAAATAGTAATTTACTTCTGTGATTACAATGCTTGATTGCAATTTTTAGCAGTCATTACTCCAGTCTTCAGTGTCACATAATTCTTCAGAAATCATTCTAATGCTGTTTTGGTGCATTTCTTATTATTAACAATGTTGAAAACAGTAGTGCTGCTTAATATTTTTGTGTAAACCTTGACACATTTTTTAAATGTAAAGTTCAAAAGAACAATATTTATTTGAAATAGAAATTGTTTTGTAATAATGTAAAAGCCTTTAATGTGTCCTTGCTAAATAAAAGTATTAATTTCATTAAAAAAATAAAAATGAATCTTACTGACCTCAAACCTTTGAATGGTAGTATATATATATTTTATCATGTTAAATAAACTTTTGTGGATCAGGGAAGAAGAACACTTAATTTCCCAGAATGCATTAGCTGTGTTGAATTACTTTAAATTGCAATTCAAACTATGCAAAGTAATGCAAAGCAAATTCCTCCTGTTATTCCTAATTTAATTCCAATTCAGCTTCCTGTAGGTGTGACCAATTCAATGCAAATTCCAAGTCATGAATTGAAAAGAAGCCGATCTGTGACACTGACCATGTGTATTCCATGTGAAGAAGTCAGATGTTCTCGCTTCCACTGAACCACAAGATGTCCTAATTATTATGCTGACAATATAATTTATATTTAAAGAGTAGCATTAAATTAGAAAAATGCAAAACAGATGCATCTGCATTAGCAGTCTCAGACATTTGGACCTTACTCTTTGTTTTTTTGCAAGAGGAAATGCAGTGATAGTTTAAAAAGGAATTTTCCATTTCAAATACTGCAGGTGCTTCAAAGGACTGTGAGCACAAATAAATGGTATATACGCATACAGCGCAGTTCCTTGATCCATGCTGCTTTGATTTGGTCTTTCAGTCCTCGCTAACCAAAGACGAGACAAAAATAAAACCTGAAAAGTTTTCCCCTCGTCTAGAATCCAGTGACATGATAGTTCTATTCTTTTCAGACAATATGGCCGCTACCATGGCAACGTGGCGGTTTTGTGCCGCAGGGCAGGGGTGACAGAGATGGAGAGAGTGGCTTGTGAAAAAGCAAGACTCTCTTTGCATTCTTGAAAGGCCAGTGGAGAGCTTTCATCTAGCTTCTAAGAGCCGCAGACATTTAACAAAGCTGCAGCACTGTATAAACACTGGCTTTCTCCATGTTTGAGGTGGCATGGGAGAGGTGAGAAGCACTTTTAATAATCGCTCGAGATTCGGATTGCATCATTACAGGGAAAACATGACATTTAATATGGCGAACGGGAAGACAATGTGAATCAAACCTCATATCCGAGAACTCTTTCAGGGGTCAACGCAGTCGGCTCCCAGGTAACTTCGATGTCAGCCGCTGACAGACTTTTTGCTGACACTCTCTCTGGCGCTACGCTCGGCACTGCGGAGAAATGGAGAGATGTTGAGGCTCTTATTCAAAAAGCTTTACACAGCCATCGGAGTAAAATTGGATTAAGTCAGAGAATGAAGCCCTGGTCTCACCTGAGAGAGGCCCTACTTCATTTTAATGGTTACTCTGACTGACAGAGAAGGAGACAATCTGCTGGGAAAATTCAATTAACACTCTAGCACATGAATAGGCCTGTAAGTGTCTAGCAGGATTTGTTGTAACCTATAGCCACAATAACTAATATAAGGTTGTCGTTCGCAGCTTGAATGAGGGAGGAGGGGCGTAAGCTGTCTCAATCAACTTATTCCATCACACTCATTCAAGGTCACACCTGTATGTGCGAAGGGAAGGAACCAAGAGTGTTTGAGAAAATGAAAGGACTACTGCTGAGCCTGACTGTGTTTGTGTGCTCCTAATATTTTAGCTCCACTGGCCCACACGATGTATCGCTGACTGGCCTATATTAGTATTTCCGGATGATTAGGCCAAAATTGAAAGCAGATGACATCAAGGCTCAGACTATTAGGCTTATATGTAGGATTAGTGATATGAACTAATTGTACTATTTTGCTATTATTTTCTATAGCAAATATGGGCTATTTTTGCTATTGCTGAAAATGTCAGTGAATGATGACAAGCAAAAATCATAATAAAAAAAATAAAAAATCATAGACACAGACTTGCATACAATACTATTCAAAAGTTTTTTTT